GCACGAGGGGGTGTATTCAAGTCCCGCCAATTAAAAAAATGGTCGCCTACCATTCATGGATACATGTACCATGGGCATGAGGGGGTGTATTCAAGTCTCGCCAATCCTAAATCATTAAAAAAAAAGGTCACCTACCATTTATCCACGTACCAAGCCCAATAATGTTGGACGTGAGGGGGTGTATTGGGAAAACTCAAGTCTCACATCGATTAGATATCAGACAATTAAATAGTATATAAGTGAAAAGCAATCTTCACCTTACGAGTCAGTTTTGTAGAGTTGAGTTAGATTTAAATCCACTATTCTAAGATCATTCCAATTTATTCCAATTTTTTCACTTCTTTCACCATTATTGATATTTTTTCTATTGTGTTAATATTCTTTTAAATCTTTATAGCGGTGACACAACAAGTTAATTAAATATTGTTATTTATATTAATTAATACTTTGGATCAAATCACATTTTTTTTATATTTATATTTTTTATGTAGTTTTTTGTTAAAATGATGTAAGTGATCTGTAATTTTATTATAAACCCTAAAAAAAATTGGCAGTTGACTATGATTTTACATCAATCATATATTATTTCGATTTAAACTTTTTTGTTAAAAACAAAACATGTGTTAAAAAAGGTAAGGAGAAATATTTTTTATCAACCTGTCAAATATGTGATCATGTTTAATGGAGACAACCACTTTTATTTCAAGTCTATTATTTTAGGTTTTTGCTATTTTCTAATGTGACATTTTGCTTTAATTTTTATTTAATATGTGTAATTCATTGGTTTTTTATCGTACTTAAATATGAGTTGTTATATATATATATATATATATATATATATATATATATATATATATGGGAATGAATACCCGTATCAGTAGATATTTGCGGGTAAAATTCGTTACGGATAATAAATTGATAGGTTAATTAGGTACCCACGGATAATGGAAACGGATAAATTTTTTACCCGTTTATAAATGGGGCGGGTATAATGATACTCATGTTTGCAGGTAGCCGTTTAATAATATTTATTAAATATCCTAATTATCTTTGTACCACATAACCCTAAAACTACACTCTCTCATCTTATTTTCTTACAAAAGTGAGGTTGATGAAGTTACCAACATGTGTTAAACATGTTATAAAATTATGTTAGATCAAATTTGATTATTTTTCTAACTTTGATTAGAGCAATAAAATTTATGTATTTTAAGTTGTTTAGTTTCGTTTGGAATTATGAGATTGAATTATTGTAACTCTGTGATATGAGACTTTCACTTATTTGTGAGATTGATGTATTTTAAGTTATTGATTATATTACATTTTTATTATTATTTCAACAAATTTAACGTTAAATATTAGTTCAAAATTAACATTGAATTTTTATTTGTAATATTTCAATGACATTAAATATAAATTTAAAATTATTTGTAATAATTTTTTAAACTTCTTAAAAATTTATAAATATCCATGAATATCTGTGGGTATTCAAGAAATTCATGGATACCCGCGCAGATATGAAATGAGTATGTGGCCAATTTTTATCCAATGAGGCGGGGACGAGTTTGCTATTACCCGACCCTATGAAGTCCCATTGTCATCCCTATATATATATCTATATAAAAAAAATCTCATTTTTACATCAAGAAAATGTCCACTTTATTTTTGACAAATTAAGATGGAAAAAATATTTTAAAAAGTTAAAGAGATATACTGATGTATAAGGTGAATGATATTAAAAAAAAAAAGGTAAAATGTGATATTAACTTCATTTCTATTTTTCATCTCATTTACTTTTATATTTTTTTCTAAGATATTACATTGGTTGTTATATTATTTATTCATTAGGTTTAATGATTATGTTATCCTAGTATACAAATTTTACATAGCAAATTATACACCAAAATTGATATGATTTTTAAGATATTTAGAGAATGTTTGATCCTTAGAATATTTTTAATATAGGTTTACGATATCAATAACAAAATATGGTTTTCAGATTTTTTTTATATATATTTCTACCAATTTGTTTAAAGCAATCTTTGATTAAAAAATTATGTCATCTCAATCTATTTAATCAATGTGATAAAAAATATTATTCTTAAGTTATATTTATAAATAATTTTAAAAAATATTTATATTCAATTAAATAAATTTAATTATTTTTTTTGAATTATGATTAAATCATAATTTTCAGATATGAAAAATTAATAAATATACATAAATAATAATTTGTGATTGAATAACATTGCAAAACTAAATTCTAAACTATTCTATATTGTCACTATATCATTATTAAGAGAGTTTAGTGGTTTGATTTGTTATTAAAAAATGATATTTTATAAGATACATTGTTTTTCAGATTCTTTTTCATATGTTTCATAAAATTGTTTTTATAAGAAGGTGAGATACTATTTTTTTATTAGTTTTTAAAAATTTATATATAGCTATGAAGAATCAAGATTTATGATTCTTATAAATATTAATTCTTAAAAACGAAAAATTAGGGCCGTATATTATACGCTCCCTTTACTCTTATTGATTTATTATATTTATTTATTTATTTATAGCGTAAAAGTTATGTAAAAAATAACTTACTATTAATCATGCGTATTAAACTTTTTTTTTCTTCTTCTTTTCATTAGCCTAAAAAAGAAGCATGCATTGGGCATTTATCAAAGGGACAGAACTGGAAAAACCGTGTTCCTTTCCTAGGGGAAAGCCCGTGGCACACTCCTCCACGCACTCCGGGTTATTTTAAAATCTCGCAAACCCAACGCCAACGGATCTTTTTTCACCTTTCACTGCTACCTACGGCTACTCAATACCTCACTTTACCTTTTCCAATTACACCACAATCAAGGGTAAATCAGTCACTTCACTGTCAACTCAGGGTGCGGTCAAAAATACAATTTTATCGACAGCTACTACTCCTATAGGCTATACCCCTGCGCCAACACTGGAAACTAGGTTTTCACATACCATATTCTCCAAATAAATAAAAGATAATGAAAACTCATACCATGTCATGTCAATATCATGGCTATGTTATTCATAAAAATTGAAGAATTTTAATATATTAAATTATATAAATAAATAAATTTTAAAAAATAAATTTAGAATAACATAAATTTTAGATTAAAAATTTATATAAAATAAATAAATTAAAAAATAAAATAATTAAAAAGTTAATTTTTATAATAATTTTTTTTATATGTAACAAAATTAAAAAATTAAAAACAAAAAATTATAATAATATTATAAAAA